ATATATATATATATATATATATATATATATATATATATATATATATATATATATATATATATATATATATATATATATATATATATATATATATATATATATATATATATATATATATATATATATATATATATATATATATATATATATATATATATATATATATATATATATATATATATATATATATATATATATATATATATATATATATATATATATATATATATATATATATATATATATAACCATGTGTCCGGGCCAATTTGTGCGCATCTCGACTAATTCCATGGGTACCTGCCAGCAACACGTAACTATGTTCCCAAAGGCTAGGACAACAAGGAAGAAATCACCTAGTATTTTTGTCTCTGCTGGGATTTGAACCTGAGGCTTTAACCCACTTCATTGACCTCTAGGCACTTTAATATGACATGTTAGACTAGGCATTTCCACTTATCTAGAAAAGGTACTTCCATTAATTTCTTTTTCCTTCTACCTTTTAATATAAGGTCTGGATTTATTGAAGTTAATATATAATTAAGCATTAGCCAAAGATGCTTGAAAAAGGAACTAGAATTTTAGCTTCTAAAGCTAAACAATGTGTGTGAGAAAAAGATATGTATAATTAGTGAATAGTAGCTTACTTTAGAAGGGTATTTTGGTTGTAAATTTCTCATTTTGTGCAACATCGACAACTTTCTGATACTTTTTGACTAGATAGGGTCATACATTGGTGTGTCAAATAGCACTAAAAAGCTTAGTGGGTTCCTGTATTTTTTTTTTCAAAATAAGGGTGAGGGATATCCAATATAGGCAATCTAGAGGGGTTGTCGTCCTTTTTACTAACTATGATTTTAAGCTCTATGATATTCTCTATCTTGTCTATACTAGGATGGTAAAAATGATGCCCTTTGATATTTCTTTGATGCTTGAGTATGAGAAGGTAATGGAAAACGAACAAAAAGTTCCATAAACAATTGTTCGTAGTCTTCTTTGATTGCTCAATGCTTGGATAGAGAGAAGCAATTACTTTGTAGAATTGGTTTATCTTTTTTTTCTCCAGAAATTCCAGCACGGAGCAAATTTAGAGGCTAATATTAGGATGTGGCCCTGTTGCCGCCCTTGGCTCACACCGTTATCATATTTGTAGGTGGAATAAGAATTAACTATGAAGAACTGTTGGTTTCTGTGAAGAGCATTTTGCAGGCTAAAAACTAAATGCTTTGATTCTGGGTATAGGAATTTATCCGAGAAAGCAACTCTAAAAAGCTATACCCCGCTGTCGGTTGTGCTGTTTGGAGAGGTTGCAATCTTTTGATTTTGATCATCTATAGTCATCATGGAGATATTATGTCACCTCATCTGTCATTCTACAAAACTTAAGAAAGGATTTTTCTGTTGAGAGGTGCAAAGTTTTTTCAAGTAGATAACCAAACAAGTTGAACAGTGCCATAAGAGATAAGTCTTATTTATTCTGCTCCGACAAATCGATAGTTTGAGCATACATGCACATCTACAGCTACCCTCCTTTTGCATTTAGTAGTGTTGTGCCTTTGCATTTCACTTTCTGTGAATATGAATTGGGTAATAAGCTGCGCAAGGATCCATTTTAACATGCTCCTGGGGCTCGGATTACTGCAATTTTCTGTAAAAGACACAGGTGGAGAAAGCAAGCAAACAAAGTACCTGGTGGTCATTGGATATAAGTCCTGGATTACCTAATTGTTCCTAATGTGGACTTGGGGACTTGGTTGTTACTACTTCGAATATTATGAGGATGAACCTCGGTTTATGAGATTTGATTCATACCAATTTAAAGTTTGTTTTCTTTCATTCCTGCAGATTGTTGGGTGCATGTCAGCTGAGCAGAGAAAGGTTCTCCTCTTCTTTTGGACTTCAATAAAGTATCTTCCCGTCGAGGGTTTTGGAGGTTTGGCCTCTAGGCTTTACATCTACAAAACCAGAGAGTCAAATGATCGTTTGCCTTCTTCACACACATGTTTCTTCCGCCTATGCTTTCCTCCTTATCCATCCATGGATGTCATGCAAGATCGACTTCACATTATCACCCAAGAGCATGTCGGTTGCAGCTTTGGTACGTGGTGACATCATCGATCTTTTTGGACCTGAATCAGACTGCACATAAGTTATGTAATCAACTTGTACATATGTATAGCGTATGCTCCTATTTGGAACTTAACTTTGGTAAGGTTTTTCTAGTTGGTTTAAATGGTGGAAGGTTGTAGTTTATTCTCACCTTAATTTAACTTTTATACAGGTATAATATCTGTTAATAAAAAAAGTAAGAAGGGTCAAGTTTTTTCTTTTTAACTAATAATTATATTTGTTCATGTGTGATTGTTGTTTATATTTGTAAAGCTTAGGTTTTATTTTCAATCTTTGTCATGCTAAAAAGAGCATGCCTTGGGAAGTGATTGTAATATTGCCTTCTCCTTTGAGTTAGATTAGCAAATGTATTATATTTGTATTGAGTACAGATTTGTTTGGCATTTCACTACTTTTATGGTTGAAATCATCAACTTTTCTTGATATGCCAGACACCCTCTGGACTCAATGTCACTAATCTGTGAAGAATGGTACTACATCAACAACATACATAGGGTAATCCCACTAGGTAGGGATTGGGAAGGTAGAGTGTACGAAGATCTTACCTCTGTCTTGGAGGTAGATAGATAGACTATTTATTTTCAGTAGATTTTCGGCACAAGGAAATAAGCGGGACAACGCTAACTATCTACTTAACCTTCTACCCTAATGCATGTGTGTCTCTCATAATCTCCTATCTAAGGTCATGTCCTCAGTAAGTTGAAGTTGCGTCATGTCTGGTTTAATCACCTCTTTCCATTACTTCTTCAGTCTACCTCTCTTGAAACCATTCATAGCCAACTTGTGGAGAATGGTATTACTAGTTGGGTTTTTCTCTTCTTTTTTTATCAGAAGAAATGGTTCGAGCCTTTTATTTTGATTTCACGAATCTAGAGATCCATGAATCGAAATCCTAATGCATATAGATACAAATGGTCCAATGAGATAGGGAAGAAAGAGAGATGAGGCATTCACTTATTTTCAGATATCCAAGCTTCATGTTTCGTGAGAGTGGTACGATACGTGGATATATTATATATTACACAAAATCAAAATAGGATAGTTGAAATGTAGAAGTGCTATGAGAATATTATATTATACCATATCATATATGATAGAGAGATGCATATACTGAGGCTCTTGGGTTGCTATAGTATTCGATATATCCACAAGATGAGTGTTGTATAAATGTGAATGTTAAGATAAACCTACGAGTATACTAAGATAAAAGAATGAGATCCACGACAGATGCTTAAGATGATTTGGTCATGTTTCGTATTAACTTTCAGATGCTTTGTAGTTTTTATTTGTACGTAATATATTGAGTTGAGTTAATTAGAACGACTTAATAAATAAAGATTCTTATAATTAATCTTGACTTTCTTGTGGTTGAAGAGTAGTTATTGGTACTATAATTTTATTTTATTTTATATTGGGAGGAGAGTTTTAACCGTTATTTTAAAAGAATTGAGAAATTTCAATTATTTTATCGTACCCTCTAATTAATTTAAAATATAGAGGTAGAAGGTCACAATCTAGGGTCAAAGATAGTTTAATTATAACAACAAAACAAGTTATTCAAGGTGAACCTTAATGTATGAAAATATTCTTCAAACTTCGTTATACATTCAAGTTATTATTTGCCGTGCGTCGAGTACACACTCGGTACCCAGCTTCCCATAAACGATTAAGGAATGAGAAATCCGATCATTTTTTTTTAAAGAAGTATTACCTAGCATTTAAAAATGTGACTTAATAGCGAATAGTCATGAAAATTTTAGAGATAGTAAGTGATCTCTACTCATTTATTAAATTCTTGGTGAGTAGAATTACCCAAAACATATACTGATGAAAGCTCGTAAATATTATAATCAAAATAAAACCTTTTATTATTCAAAGACAGACTCAACACCCCCACCCCACCCACCCCGCAACCACAAACCATAGACCAAAGACACAAGGATATATGCATTACAACAAACATATTCCTTCATTCTAGTTATCATACTAAATAGTACTAATAATAAATATATAAAATCTTAACTTAAAATATT